TAATGTTGAATATGTATTAAAAAACATAGCTTGTGAACCCCCAATGATGTGTTTATTTTTACCAACCAGCCAGAAGACTCATATATTTAAAACAAAAGACAATTAATCAAACAGCAAAGCAAATCACAGGACCAGAGATCTAGTCCTAGAAGGAACTGAAGAGGCCATCTGGTCCAACCTCTTCAGCCTTTTACAGATGAATAAACTAAGGCTCAGAGAGTGTATTTGAGTTGCCCAATGAAGATTTTATGCTCCTGGACCCAAATCAGAGACTCTTCCAAACTGCCAGGAGCTGTTTAGAGCCTGGAGCTACCAAACTCATTTTGCTTCCAAGATCCTCTCTGATTGATATGCAAATGAAGTGGAGAAAGAACAAAAGGAAAGCAAAAATACCTGTTCATTCCTTGGTTCAAATTCTTGCCTTTATTAGGTATAACTGCCATTAACTCCCAAGTCCTGCTTCCTCTACAGTCAATTGCTTTGTGTTTTGGGCGGTTTTGTGTTGGCCATCATAAAACCTCTGGCTCCCTGTGCCCATAAAGCCTTCTGTGTGTGTGTGTGTGTGTGTGTGTGTGTGTGAGAGAGAGAGAGAGACAGAGAGACACACACACACACACACACACACACAGATATAGAGAAACAGAGACAGAGAGGCAGGGAGACAGAGACACAGAGACAAAGAGAGATGGAGAGTGAAAGAGAGAAAAAGATAGTTAAGTTGGGGTTAAGTCTACAGCTATGGATTCATGGGTTCACTTTGGTCCTTCCTTAGCTGTGTGTTCAACTAAATCCTTTATAGTAAACATTTGCTCAGAATGTAATGAAAATCAACTTATCTTTATCTGGAGACAAAACCTATTAAAAAAATATAGACAATAAATAAACGAGATTTAAGGGTAAGCAATGCCAATTCACCAGCCAAGGATGAGGCATAGGAAGGGGAAGAAGTAAAAAGGGAATAAATTCACCGGATCCAAACAGTAGTGACATGATCAGGGAAACAGGTATCTTAGCAGATAACTCCTTAAGTGAGCCAGTGAGCCAGACAAGGCTTTAGCCTGTCATAATTATGTTCCTTGTGGGTTAGCAATTGTAATCAGTCAGCTGATAATAAGAATCTTCACGCCCCTGTTTCTTCTCCCTTCCTAGGAGCTTCAAAATTCTTGGGTTTCCCTGAGGGCCCCTGTTCTGTGCAACTTCCTCCTCCCATCATCCTTAATTCCCTCTTTCCAGCTTGGAAAAAACCCCAACAACTATACTTATCACCATTCAGTAAGGGGGCAAATAGCCCTTAATATCTCAGTTATCCCTCTTCTTCCCTACCTCAAAATAAAAGGGGAAGAATACCTCATTCTAAAAGGCCATTAGGTAAATAGAATACTTAAATAGTGTCTGGTGGGTTTGATATGACTTATCCATGCATAGTCAAGATGTGGTCCAGAATATTACCTGGGTTTCAGGGTTGATTCAGGGCTATGGGTCTATTATTTTAGAATAGAGTTTGATTTACTCAGAGACAGCCAATCAATCAACAGGCATTTATAAAATGCCTACTGTGTGCCAGATATTGTCTGACCTACATTCTGGAGTCAGTATAGCTCAGTGAGTGTAGGAATAAGGGATGGATTGCCATTTGCCCAAATATTTAATCCTATATTGCATTCAATCCTATATCAAATCTTTATGCTATAGAAGGAGAGGGCATTTGAAGAAGAGAGCCCAGCAATAAATATCATAGAGACAGCCCCATGTCCACAGTCCCTGGTCATATTTTTTTTCCATCATGGAACAACTTTTTCTGCCTTCCATGAGTTATTTAAAAAGTAGAAGTCAGACAGTAGGAAAATTGGGCACTGATTCTAGATCTACCAACATGGGTACACATTATCACAGATAAGATAACTAACTCAGCGTCTAGGGGATGGCAGCAATAGCTGGTGCCCAGAAGCCTCTTGATATTAGAGACGCAGATGGCAGCTAAGATCATTGACTCTCTCAGGCTAGTGATCTATGAAGGGTAGAAGGGAAGGGGGGATGGCATTTTCTGTATATCTCCTTCAGCCTTTACCCTCCTAATCACCCAATTTGGTGTCCTCACGTAGGATCACAGTGAACCATGGCCAGGGCATCCAGAGCTAGGCAGGACATAGCAATTAGTCAAGAACCAGGGAGAAAAGCAAAAGCTACAGAATGTGTTGGCCCAAATGATTTTGGCCACTGGCCTGGGGTTAGGGGGAGAGCTAATTGGAAAAAATTTCCACAGTGTGGTATGAATCCCACTAGGACACATATATTTTAATACACCAAGAATCCATAATTTCATCTGGGTGAGTACATTTTCAGTATTGCAGATTACAGTTTTTCTGTGCCTTAGTAGATGCTCTTCATGAGTTATGACCCAAAACAAGCAAATAAAAAAATAGCTCCAAACCATTATGAAGTGGTCAATTTTAGTTGGACTGGTCTCTGAATGATAGATACATTGGGGACCCCATTTGACACTTTTCCCATCTTGGCTACCAAAACTTGTGGTGCACTGACATAGTCTTAGTTTAAAAAAAATTGCATTACACTTTGTACATGACTGAGACTTCCCTCCTGCAAAGAACATCTCCTTGAAACAGAGAAAAACAGCTAAGCAAAACAAACTGACACATTGCTGATGTCTGACAGTAAACTCAGCATTCAGCACCCATAGTCTACCCTCTTCTTACCAAGAAGTGAGAAGTATATTTCATTTTTCATCCATGTAATTACCAATGTCATGGTAATTACATTAATATGAATTCTGATGATCCTAGTATTGTTTTCCTTTGCATTACTGTGGTCATTGTGTATGTTGTTCTCTTAGTTCTGGTTTCTATACTGCTTATCATTGTGTCTTATATTCATTCAATTAAATTCAATTCAACAAGTGTCTTATTAAGCATCTCCTATGTTCATGACACTCAGTGTCTTAGTGGCTGAGATTATAAAGGCAAAAATGGAAGCAGGGAGCTTGCATTCTTTATTATATTCAAGTTTTCTCAGGTTCTTCTGAATTCCTCCTATTTGCCATTTTCTATGGGATGACAGAATTCTATTACATTCATTGGCAAGACCCCTCTTCAGATTATCTTTTTGTTCATTCCCTAACTGAAAGAAGGACATTATTGAAGTTTCTCTTGGACTTTTTGATCATGGTTCAATATGGCATTCTTTTTAGAATACTACTGAAGTAAAGATGAAAGAGTTGGGCTCTTCCACACTTTTTATGCAGCCAGCTTGACCCAAAGTCCTTGAAAATCTCCATTACATTAATATAATGGTCAATGAGTACATACTTTGTTTCCAGTTTTTCATGACTCCAAAAAATGCTATTCTGAATATTTTGGTAATTTGGGACCCTTCCTTTTGTCTTTGACCTTCTTTAGATATACAGTTCTGGTTGTCATAATGAGGGTATTACTGGGCCAAATGATATGAACCACTGCCACAATATTTGATAACCCAGGAACATCTTCAAGGCACAATGAGTCATCAGAGTAGGACTTTAGTGGAATTTCATGTTTCATTCCTCTATTATTTTTACAATCTAAATTTGTAAAGCTGGTCCTTTAGTAATATTGTAGAAAGAGCACTGTACTGGATTCAAGAGCTAGTCCTAACTCCACTACTTCCTAGCTGGAAGGTTAAGTCAACCTAGTTGAATTCAATTCAACAAGTATCTTATTAAGCATCTCTTTGGTTCATGACACTGTCTTAGGGGCCGAGATTATACAGTCAAAAATGGAACCAAGGAGCTTACCTTTCTATATTACATTCAGGTCTTCTTGAATTCCTCCTATTTAGCATTTTCTATGGGATGATTGGATTCTATTACATTTATTGGCAAGACCCTTACCCAGTTTGACTTAACCTTCCTCGGCCTGTTGGCTCATCTGTAACTCAGAGATAACATGTTTTAAAATCAGAAAGCCTGGGCCAAAGGATCTCTTGAAGTCTCTTCCTACAGGAATAAGAATGTGTTGGCCTTCAAATTGTGTTCCAATATATGAGGGAGACAGCAAAGGTTTCTCCAGAGAGCCTCTTCACCCACAGCCCTGAAAGTCTTTCTCCTTTGGAAAGGTTGTGTGTGTAGTGTGGGGGCAGGAAAAAAAAAAAGAGGTTTTTCCTGAGCATAAAATAGGAAGACAGCCTTGTGTTACAGAACAAATGGGGTACTTTTTTTTTTAAATAAAAGGAATGGCTGTGTTTCTGTTACATAAATAATTAAAAAGGGGAAAAAAAGAGGAAGAAAACCCTGCGACAGGGTACTGGGAGGTAATAGCTAATGCATTTCCAGAACATGACTGCTGTGGTCGCCTAGCAACCAGGAGGAGGCGGGTCTGTGAGGCAAGAGGGGCTCCATCCCTCCATCTATCCCTCCCCACCTTCTTTCCCTCGTCACACTCAGGCGGGGGGGAATGTGTTTGTCTATATGTGTGAGTCCAGGTGGGCAGGTGATGTGGAATCTCACTGCTCACCCCACGCTCTGACGATATCCACTTGCTGAGGATGAAACTTTGGGGCTTTGGGAAGCTGGACGGTGTCATCGTGGAGCTCCTGGGTGGGATGTGAGGACTCCCGCCCCAAGCCAGCGGGCGAGAGGCAGATCACGAAGTAGTCAAGCTGCTGGATGCCCTACCCGGGGCTTGGCAAATCGACTCCTGGAAAGTTTGTAGAGACCAGAGGGGCAGGCAGGTAGTGTCTGTCTCCGCGGCAGGAGGATGCTTTGGTCTCTCCTCCGGCTGACCCGAAGTTTCACTGACAGGAGTCTGCTCCCGGGAATTCAGACTGCCCGAGCCAGGTGTGCCCTGGATAGCGGCAACCCAAAAGGCGGGGAAACCAGAGCTAGTTCTCGGCAGAGTCCAAAGGAGTTTTACTTATGCTCGCTTAACTGAGTCACCGACTGAATCACTGAGAGTCTTTCTGAGAAATTATTATTTTATTTGTATTTTCCTCTCTTCTTCCTCCTATAGACAATGAGTTTGCGGAATCCACAGCAGCGCAGTTCAACCCAGATAAGTTGGGTAAGTTAGTTCTTCCCTTGTCGGATGAAGGCATTGTCTTTTTCCTTCCTGTCTTTTAATTTCCCCTGGTTACCGACTCCAGAGCTCCCCCGAGGAAGCCAGACTCTGCGAGGATTCTGACGCCAGGTCATGAGTTGGGACTGAAGGGAATACTTTTCTATGTGTTGGCATGTCCGGTCCTTTATGTCAATCACATTGACTTAGCTCAGATATTTTCGTTGTGATGAGAATTAGCGTGTTTTCCTGGGCATGTAGCTTTTGTGGCTGAACTAAAGTGTCAGGGTTTGTGTGAGTGTGTGTACGTGTGTGTGTGTGTGTTTGTGTGTGTGTGTGTTTGTGTGTGTGTGTGTGTGTGTGTGTGTGTGTGTGTGTGTGTGCTAGAGACAATGCAAATGTTGCAGCTCTTTAGAGAATCCACTTCAAGCTCAACACAAAACAAACAAGAACTTCCTCTATGGTTGGCTTAGCCTGCCCTAGAAAGCAGGGACTGTCCGTGTCTTTTCTGTAGCTGCCTTACTGGGTACTTGCCCACTCTATAGGCAGGTATATGACCTATGGGCACTCATTAATTGGAGAGGAGTGGAGGAAGAGATCATAGGCTACAGTTTTAAAATACGTGTCTGGGAGCTGCAACCTTAAGTGATGTTCTTATGTTTTTCTCGGATGTCTTCCAGTAGCTTATTTCTCTTACTTGCGTTTGTCTCTGTGCCAGCCTTTTTTTTTTTTTGGCAGGAATTTGGTGTGGTGTCAAAAGCTGAGCCTTTCCCGTGTTAACTGCAAAGATATTTTCATTATCAGAGTCCCTAGTGGGTATTCTGGATGCCCTCTGCTACTCTAAATTGTGTGTGTGTGTGTGTGTGTGTGTGTGTTGTGTGTGTTGCCCTCCAGGAAACCTTAGCTGCTAACAAGCTGGGCTATTCAGAATATTCTCCCTACTCACTTATCATGAGTGTGAAAACCTTGCTTTCCGTGTCCACCCACTTCTTTTCAATCAGCCCCTTGCTCTATTAGAATGGTCTTTATTTATCCTGACATCACCCAGTGGAATCTCACTTCAGGGGATGATTTTCTAATCATTTCTCCAACAGCAAGGCACTCGAAACTCTAGAGTCAAAGCAGACATTTTGAGAAACCAGTACACAGTAGGATCTTACTGTATTCATTAACTGTGTCTGAGAAGTTGAGGATCAATCAAATGTTTACAAATTAAGTGATTTTTTTTACATGCCCAGGGAAAACATGCTTTTAAAGGAATATTTGGGGTAAATCCTTAGATGAAATAATCATCCTTGATCTTTTGTCTTTGGTTTGTATAACAAGGAGAATACCTATAGCCTTCTTTCAGAGCTATCGAGGAGAAAGGCTCAAGCCAGAGATTTTTCTGACACTGGGCAAATTGTGTTCATGCTAGAGAGTCCTATGGGGGAAAAGGGAAAGGTCCCTTGGGTAAGTATTAGATGTTCAGCCAATCTTTGATTATTAATCATTCCTGGTTGGGCTCTCCAGCTTGCAAAAAATAATTAATGTTTGTAAATTATAGGTAAGTATAATCAATGAGTGGGAGGGAAATTATTTACTCTGGGAAATGTGATGGTATTAGTGCTAGATTATCTGCATATAAACAATGATCTCCATAGTTGTGAGGTCCTAGGTCTGAGTTTCCTTGTGTTCCAGCTTCATCAAATCACTCTATATTGGTAAATACCAATGGAATTTAAAAAATAGGAGAGCTTTAAAGAATCATAGTTTACCCCCTGCATAGCTGGAGGCACCCCTCAATGGGAGTCCCTCCTCCCTCTCCCCAAATGAGGAGGGCCCTTCTAGCCATCTCCTCAGCAGTTCCTTTTGGGGAGAAGTTGAATTTCTACTGATAAGGATAGACTGGCAGGTACCCAGTTTTTCCCTCCCAAGGAGCTAGTGTTGTGTTGTAGTAGGGAATATAGTTTTAAAAAAGAAATTGCTGTGAACAAAGGCAGGACCTGATTGTTCTGTAACAAAAGCCACTGTCATATTATGTAACTAGTGAGTACCGGGTATTTTGATCATTTTCTCCATGTAGTGGCTGAGGGAATGATGGCTTTAAAGGGCCTATTCCCTCACCATCTCTACTCCCTCTCCCCAACAGTTCCATGATTCAATTCAATTCAACAAACATTTATTTTGCTTACTGTGTCCAAGCCACTGCTCTAGAGACTGGGAATGCAAAGAAACATCTTTACATTGGCTAGAGGCTGGTGGCCATACCTACAAGTGATTGAATGTTCCCTCAGGACCTGATCTGACATTTTGGGTACATTTCTTAGGCATTGTCCTCCCCTCCACATGCACCCACAAAGTGTCTTACTAGTAGCTGGCCAGCCTTCTAGCTGCTAGCAGCTGTTCTTCCTCAGTCTAGATTGGCTTAGACTCATCTCAGGTCAGAGCGTCAAAAAAAGATGAAGAAATCGTACCTTTTCTTTCATTGCTCAAGAACGCCTGCTTACATGCATTCTGGGGAGAACCAGATTGAATGTGCTAGGAAGGTTCTTGTAGTTCTGCCCAGTGATGGCTATAAGTTGTTATCGGGCTGACACTTCTCTGCAGACTATTTTTACTTCTGAAAACAAGTGCCCCTTGTGTGAGTACTAAATGTCTTTTGTGATGGTAGCAATTCAATTTAAAAAATTATTAAGTGCCTATTTCGATGCAAAGCACTGGGCTAGGTAGAAAAGAAACAAAAACCAGGGTAAAAAAGAGTCTTTTTCCTCAAGGAGCTTAAATTTAACAAGGGGAGGGAGAGGAGGTAATAACTAGATGGGTAGGAAAAAGATTTGATTACATAGCTATATTATATATACACGTACATAAATATATCTGTGTAGTATCTAATTTGGTACCTGTCTGGATATAGGCTTGAGGTAAAAGGTAAAGCCTAAAGAGGAAAAAAAAAACACTTTGTCTCTACTTTGGCACCCAAACTATGGAATGTGGGCCTTGCCAGCCAGGACCAACCACACCTTTTTCTCTTCCTACCAAGTAATACCTACTCCCTATTCATTGCCCTCAACTCCACCCCAGTGGTTGGGGTTGGGGGGTAAGGAGGAGTAAATGAGTCTGCATGTCCCAACAGCCCAACCTTGTCTAGATATCAAAATGATGCTCTGATTCATTTTTAGCCTAGGGTGAAAGAAGAAAAATTCCCATCCAATTTAGGACTGCCTTTTCAAAAATTTATAAAAGATTATTACTAATTAAAACCAAAAAGATTCTCTCTGTCTCTGTCTATCTCTCTGTCTCTGTCTCTCTTTAATCTCTCTCTCTCTCTCTCTCTCTCTCTCTCTCTCTCTCTCTCTCTCTCTCTCTCTTTCTCTCTGTATCTCTCTCAATTTGGCTTAGCCCCCAGGTAGGAGAAAGCCTGACAATTATTTATAGGGCTAGAACTATGGTCCTTTCTGTATCTCTCTATCAAAACCCCAAAACTGTTTGTGACTTCCTACTATAGCCCTCCTGTACTACACACAGATCAGCAGAAATAAAATTGATTGGTTTATCTAGCTGGCAAAAGAAATTCAAACCATTTAAACAGCAATTTAAAAAGCAATTTTACAGAAAAGAATATTCTTTGGAATCAGCAATTGTCCTACTCTGACATAGAGTGGGGCAGGAAGGGGAGACCACCACCACAGTCTGGTACATGTCCCATTCTGGCTACTGAAAACTGAGAGAGCTGCTGTGGGGTGTGTGTGTGTGTGTGTGTGTGTGTGTGTGTGTGTGTGGAGAAAGAGAGAGAGAAGAGAGATGATAAATGGATGATAGAGAAATAAATAGGTAAATGGATGATAGGTGATAGATAGACAGAAAGAAGGATGATAAATGCTGCTGTTGTTATTGCTCAGTCAATTCAGTTGTGTCCGACTCTTTGTGACCCCATTTGGGGTTTTCTTGGCAAAGATACTGAAATGATTTGCCATTTCCTTCTCCAGCTCATTTTGCAGATGAGGAACTGAGGCCAGTAGGGTTAAGTGACTTGTCCAAGGTCATACAGCTAGTAAGTGTCTGAGGCTATAGTTGAACTCAAGAAGATGAGTCTTCCTGACTCCAGGCTTGGTGCTCTATCCACTGTACCATTTAGCACTTGGATAATAAATAGATGGATGATTAGATGGGTGGATAGATAGATAGATAGATTTATAGGCAGCATTGTAGAGTGAAAAGGTCAAAGGATTTGAAGTCATAGAATCTGGGGCTAATTCTACCTGTATGACATTGGGCAAGTCATTTAACCTCTCAGTGCCTCAGTTTTCTCAAGTGTGAAATGAGGGGTTGGAGTAGATGATATCTAAGGTCCCTTTTGATTCTATGATCTTAACTTCAGTGATATTGTGAAAGAGTTATGTTGAAGATTTAAGCATAAGTCTTATCACCAGGGGACAGGGAGAGAGCTGAAAGGTTCCATTCTCAGGTGATAAGAACAATCATGCCAATGGCAACAGCAAGAACAAAAAAATGTGCAAAAGTAGCTACATGGTTCCCCGTTCCCCATGGTCTACCTCCACTTTGTTCTCCTTCCTTTACTCCCATCATGTCAGGCCAGACCTAACCAATAGAAATGGATGAGATCTGACTTATCAAGAACAAAGAGATGGGATAAAGGGGGAAAGATCTAAAGGTGTCCCTGCCTCTCAATAATTCTTCTGAAATGAGGGGCAGCTAGGTGGTGCAGTGGATAGAGCACTGGCCCTGAATTCAGGAGGACCTGAGTTCAAATCTGGCTTCAGACACTTGCTAGCTGTGTGACCCTGGGCGAGTCACTTAACCCCATTGCCTAGCCTCCCCCCCAAAAAAACCCACAAAAAACCCAAAACCAACAAACAAAAAATAATTCTTCTGAGATAGGAGTCTACTCTCATAATGGCACTGACTATTGGACTGAATCTTTTGCTGGAACTCACAAAGTTCCTCTCTATGGTTCTCTTCTTTGGCATATTTAGTGCCTTTTCTAGTTTTTTAAAAATATTTTT